AATTTATTAGCTTCTAATAGATTTTATAAATTATTCTTTTTTATTTTTTTAATAATACTTATATGTATAATTGAAGGAATTAAAAAATTATAAGATAAAAAATTTACTTTAGAACGAATTTAAAAAATAAAAATAATTTTTTTTTCATGAAGTTATTTATATTGGAAAAAAATCAAACTATGTAATTTATCTAATTACTAAAATTTATTAATATTTAATAAATTAATATTGATGTAATACATATGTATAGTTTGAGTTTTAGTCTATGTGCATATTAATTTTATATCTAATTACAATTCCTATTATAAGTATCTATCATGAGGGCCTTAGATTAATCTTCAAATTTATTTTCTTTAAGAGATTTTGCACCAAATTCCATCTTTTATTTCTATTTCTAATTTAGCAATAGCCTTAAGATTTTTTGCTTCCTATTAAATATCCTTGAAATATTCATCTATAAAAATGGTTGGTAGAACCAATATTACCCCACGCTTTAATCTTTGGTGCTTGGATTTTATTCAAATATTAAGACTTGAACATCTTTATATATTCTACTGCAATACATGGATAGCTCTCCCATGTTATTTCAACTAGATGCCTTATATTTTACAAAATATTATAATGTTGCATTCCATAGATGCATGGATAAGCTTAAAGTCATATTTATCAAACAAAATATGGACAAGGTTATTATGGATGAAATAAAAAAATAATAATTTGTATTCCACCAGCATCAACTCAAGAAGATAGTCTATAAAAAACTCAAGAACCAAACCACCATCCTTGTATCTTACTTCAGCCACTCATATAACCTTTCAAAGAAATTCTTTCTCTATATATATATATATATCATTATTTCAAATTAAGATAAGATATTTATTAATATTGTTAAAATTTTGGATCTTAAAATATCAATTTTTTTATTTTTTCAATTTTGAAAGTAATTTCGATTTAAAATAATTGTGGTTATTTTTATTTAGTTTTAATTTAATCTATGAGGTATATAAAATTAATATGAATCTATTTTAATTAAAAGTATTATAAAAACGTAATAAACTTAGAATATTTTTTAAAAAATTATGTTGTTTTATTATTACATTGATATATATAAAATATGTTTACTCTCATTTAACTACAAATTCAACAAGTATAGAGTTTTATGTTTTGAAATAAAAAAATAAAAAATAAAAATCTTAGATTTGTAATAATAAACTTAATTTTCAAAGTAACTAAAAAACATTTCAAATGATACTCTAGTATTCGAAATTTAAATCTTGTCTAACATTACTTTTATTAGTATAGTATTGAATGAATTCAATTTCTTACTTTTAATATTTATCCAAGTTAGATTTAAAAATTAATAAGATAATGAGAATATAATAGGTTCATAATAAAGTAAATATGAACTTTCTTGTAGAAATATCTATTTAAATATTTTTAACCTAAATTTAAAAACCATATGTCACCATGTATTTCAAAAAATTATTTATAAAACCTTATTGAATTCAGAGCTTTGTAAAAAAATACAATATTTTATTATAAAGTTAAAATCTTTATTTTAAAGGGTTGAAAAATATTTTAAAGCAAGGTATTTGAAACCTCACTTATACAAAATAAACCAAGTTGCTTAAATATTTTTTCAATATGAGAGAATTTAATTTAAAATTTTAAATATACCTATATCTATATATATATGTATATATATATGTATATATATATATATATATATATATATATAAAGATAACTTTATATGGTTTAGACTTCAATTTAATTTTTACTAAAATTTTGATTCCTAATACAGATATACAAAGTCATATTTTTAAAAATATTTATGACTTCGAAATGTCATAATGTTTCTTTTTTTCTTAATGCTTGTTCATGTTCAATTATCTTCTACTTTAAATTACATTTTTTGAATGGAAGAATATTTAATGTCACTTTAATTAATCGAATAGTATAAAGAAAAAAAAATCAATACATTAATATTTGCCAAGAAATTTAATAACATCTGAATAAGAATTTATATTGAAGAGCATATATATAAAGCGAGTGTACTTCAATTCATATTACTATGTAAACATGTAAATATTTAATAAAGAGAGAATAGTTGAGTAGATTTCAAACAAATTTATAAAAGTAATTTTTTAGGAATCATTAAAATCTTAGTAAGAGAGTAAACTTTGCATAATATTATAAACTATAATTTTTTTATGCTTTTGATATAGTTTAGTATTATTTTTATTGCACCATTTGATTTGTGTATATATATACATACATATATATATAGATATACTTAAAATACCTAAATACTATAAAATAAGTAAAATAAGCAACTGTTTTCTTCACAAAAAATAAGAACCATAATTAATCTTTTTTCATACATAAATATTTCAAATAAAAAGTTACAAAATCAATAAACGATTTTTTATGTAATAAATTGTGTCAGTATTGGATGATTTTCATTTCAGTTTTTGATATAGTGAAATAATTGCAGGTAAAGGAACTTATCTTGTACAGTTTGACTTATTTTACATCCAAATTTAGATTAATTTGCTGCATATATATATATATATATATATATATATCTCTGTGTGTGTGTGTGTGTGTATGTAACTTCTTTCTAATTAAATTCAACTTCAAAAAAAATTCAATGGTTACAAATGCACATTTAGATTAAATGTATTATTTGCTTATTCCACTCGTGTAAGAATTTTTATTTTTTATTTTTTTATTATGCATGTAATTTTTTATAAACTAAAACCAATATTTCATGTTGAAATTATTACGACTAAACTAGAAATAATATGACCTAATAATATATTTTTTTGATTATTTTGAAGATATCTATGCTTAACTTACATCAAAATTATACATGATTAAAAATACAATTATGTTAACTATCATCACAAAGTTAGAACATTTAAATGAATAATATAAAAAATTGAGATAGGTTAATTGTGATTTATTCATTTTTTTAAATATCTAACATTAAAAATAAGACCAAATTCCATAAACCAAGTAATATTTGTAAACTCTCTTAGAATACATATGATTCAGAAATATAAAATATTTAGTTATAATAAATATAAAAATAATATGTTTGTTTTTTGTTTTTTTAAATGATAACTCTTAGAACACCAATTTTTACAAAACCCAATAACACAAGCTTGCTTTGAAGAATTTATTAAGATTGAATGGATAAAATTTTAAGTGTTTTAAGCATTATCAAACTTTGAATTTTCTTAATACAATCATCATAGAATAGTGGATATAGACCTAGTATTTGAGATTTAATTACATCTGTAGATGTTGATAATACAATTATTAGTAGTCTAAAGTGTATACATAAACACTTGAAAAATATTTTAATGTAGCAAATATAAAGCTATATACAATAATATGATTATTTTGTATTGTTTTTCATCTAAAAAGTGAAACATTGTATAAACATTGACTTCTAATTATCTTTTCAATCTTATTTAGAATATTAAAATATCTTAGATGTTATATATATATATATATATATATATATAATTTGATATCTTTTTCAGCTCTATTTAAATTTATATATGTAAAAAAATATATACACCAAAGGCATAGTCAATCAATTACTAGAAAATCTATGTATATATATATATATATATATATGTGTGTGTGTGTGTGTGTGTGTGTATGTATGCATGTATGTATGTATATATGTATATATGTATTGCAACATTTCTATATTATGATATGGTAATGGTATATTTTCTCTTTTTATTTTATTTATTTATTCATTTTTATTAAACCACCTGCCTATGATTTAAAAAGCAAATAAAGTCTCTAACAGAAAATCATGTGCATTTGGATTTTTTAGATAAGATTGAACCTATTAATAATTTATTTATGCATTTATATTATTTATATTATTATAAAGTTTTCTTATTATCTTTCTTAGTAATAAAAAGAAAGTATATATATATATATATATATATATTCACATATACATTTTGTGTTATTATGTAGAATTTCCATAGAACCTCAAAGAATTATTGTGATATTTTTAAAATTATTTTACACGTCTTTTTATTGCATATTTCTTTAAAAGTTTTAAACATAATCTCTGTATTTGAACTCTTTGTTTGAAACAATCTACACAAAGCGGATTTAAGATGAGCTAATATGAAATATCACATTCAAATACAAGGTTAATTATAAAATAATATTATTTTCATGTTCCCAAAACACAAATCAAATCTAAAGAACAATTTAATGTCCCACAACTTAACCAATTAAAAAAACTCGTCCTTAACATCAATAATTTTTCTATTTACGGAGTAGAGGAGAATATCAAATATAAATTTGTACACACGATTTTTCTTCTATTTGGTTAAATACATTGGATTCTTGTTTCAAATAAAAATCCAAATCTACAAGCAACGTTACACCCTAAAACTTGAAAACCCTAAATCAAAAAGAAAAAGAAAAAGAAAAAATCACTTTGTCTTTGATCAATATTCACTCAAATCACGTAATCAATCAATATTCCTATTTAGGGGGGGGGGCAGAATCTAGAAGGGTGCGGATAAACTACTGGCGCCACGTAGGAGGCCCTGGTCGTATCACCCTCGCCCGTCATTTTCGTTCGGAATCTCCCCCCTCGGTGCCGTGCCGCCCTTCCATATTCCAGAACGGGAGAGAACGGGTCTCGCCATTGGGCGGCCCCCTGGGGTTTACTGCTCCACGATGCAGGAATCATACGACGACGACAACCAGCGAACGTTCCGGAATCGTCCCTCTATCCGTCCATCCGTCTACCCGTGTGTCCGTCGTCGTCGGCTTCTCCCTCTCTACTGCCTTTGTCGTCCAGTCGTCGTCGGCTTCTCCCTCTCTACTGCCTTTGTCGTCCAGTCGTCGTCGGCTTCTCCCTCTCTACTGCCTTTGTCGTCCAGTCGTCGTCGGCTTCTCCCTCTCTACTGCCTCCGTTGGTAGAGAGTGCTGGGGTTAGTAGTGTGTTGTGTGTGTGAAGAAACCCCTAGAAACACTCCCGTCGCGCTCTGTCTCATTGTGACTCTCGGATCAGTTCTCTCTGCCTTCGTTGGTCTCGGCTCATGCTTCCTCCATAGCCCGGAGCACCGCTTCCGTCGTCCTTCCGGAAACACGTCTTCTTATTATTACAGGTATGCTGTTGCTTCCATTCCCGAGTAGGCGCTTCGTTGGGAGAGGAAGTGAGTGAGTGAGTGATTGATTTACACGTAGACGACGAGATGAGGCTTTTTGTGCAAATGGGACTTGAAGAAGTCGGGAAGGAATTTTTACGAGGCGATTAGTTAGCGTGTTGTGGTAGCCGCGCGGGATTCGCGTGGGAGGCGTCGGCTCGGGGTAACTCGGTTGTGGTGTGAATTGCTGGTTACGCTGAGGTTTAGGTGCCGGAGTTTGGCGGGTTTTGAGAAATGATCTGAGAATTGTATTTGCGGGGTTGCATGCTAGTGCGCAGACGTGGTTGTATGCTGTTTATTTGTAGCGAATTTGATGTTATCCTTCTTAGTTCGGCGAGCAGTTGGTGTCTTTGTTGGATAGGACTAGTTAAATGAGTTCCTAGTGATATGAGTTGATTTTGAGAAGGCTGCTGCTACCTTGGATCGAGAGTTACACTGGTTTTCCTTGGGAAGGCGCTCGTAGAGACCAATTTCTTATTAGTTTCCAATTGTTTTGAATCGATGATTGTAACATACTGCGCGAGCCAGTGGTCTGTCGATCACTGTGGAATTGTGTTGTGATGGCGGTTCTTCCCTAGTTAGAGATTAAGAATGAACCGAGATAATTACGTGGAGTGCGAACGGGAGATGTGATTGCACACTGAATGTTAAAGATTGTTGATTTTTCACAGAAGGGGGAGGAAGCACACGGGCTCATAATGATTAAGCTATTCAGTGTGAAGCAGAAGCAAAGAGAGGATGCTCTGAACAACAATGGCCGTCCCATCAAGAAGCAAAGTGCTGGTGAATTACGAGTTCAGAAAGGTCTTGATTCCCTTCTTTCTTCCATTCTAGTTCCATTGTTGTTGTTCAGAATTACCCGACTGTGATTAAGCCATTGATGTGTTTTTGGCTTAGGTTCAGCAACTCTGAGGTGTGCGTTTTTCAACTTCGTCCTTTTCTTGGACCTCTTTATTTATATATTTATTTATTTGTTTATTTTTTCCAGAAGTGTACTGTTTCACTTCGCTCATCCCTTATTATCTGACTTCGTGGAAGGTCCGGTCCAGATTGTTGGGAACAAACTGCTTTCACCTGTATTTTAACTCTGTATTCCTTTTGTAAGAGCTACCAGCTGAAGTTTTGACTGAGCTTGCTCTTAGATCTGACAAACCTTCAACAACTGCGGGTTGATATTGCAGATATAAGTGAATTGAACTTGGCTAAGACTATCTCTATACACTTCCCAAATGGCAAGGATAATCTTCTCAACTTTGAAATCACCATTCGGCCAGATGAGGGTTACTATCAGTGAGTCCTTGAACCGCTTCCGAGTTCCCTACACGCTCTTTTCTGATTCTACGAAGCCTTGGACACCAACTTCTCAGATGTTATGGTTCTGCCAAAGGAATCCAGCCGCTTCCCGAGATCGGGATGATGTTATGAGGAATTTTTCATGGAAATTCTTTTATTTGAAGCGAGAAGCTTGTGCCTTACACATCCAGTGGGGTATATTTGGAGGTACCATGGTCTCATCGAATGCCACTGTAATGTTTTTGCAGAGGTGGCACGTTTGTCTTTAGCTTCTCGATCTCACAGGTGTATCCTCACGAGGCACCGAAGGTGAAATGCAAGACCAAGGTAAGCGAGCGTTGGAAGGAAATTCTCCTACTCGTCGTATAGATCACTCTGTATGTTGAAATTAGGACATATTGAACAAACTTATTTTAATCCATGGTAGTAGCGCTTGTGCAGGTATATCATCCTAACATAGATCTGGAGGGCAACGTCTGCTTGAACATCCTCCGTGAAGATTGGAAGCCTGTCCTTAGTATCAACTCCATTATTTATGGCCTTCAATACCTGTTTTTGGTGAGTTCTTTTCCTGTTTACCTTCTGTAGTAGAGATGCCACTGTATTGACTAGGATATTTTAATTTTTTTTTTGTGTGATTACGTATGCACTAGATCATTCATGGTCCTCGAGCAGTTCATGCGTAATAAACTCTTAAGACACTTCTTAGAGAATCAAAACATTCGGTGTGTATCTTGTCTTCTGCCTATTTTGCTGAAGCCAGTTCACTGCCAATGTGGTATTTTAGATTTCATTAGCGCTCGCTTCACAAGGCATCTGTCTAATCTTTGGCTTTTTCTGTCGAGGGCTTTGGATTTTTTTCCCACGATTGATTTCTATATTTGCAAGAATTATGCCTCATTCTTAGAAGTTTGCGTCTGTTTCGTATTTGTCTAGTTCCTTGCTATGGAGCAGCTGGGTTTGGGTCTGGTATTGTGCTGTTTGCTTAGTTGCTGGAAGCGAAGCAGAGCCTGACCTAAATGGGGCAACTTTGTGTTACCTATGAAAGATCATATTTTACATATAGGAATTTCTTATGAATCGTTACCGGGTCTGAATGTGCCAGCTGTTCCTCACATCACACTCGGCTGAGGATTTTTGGTAATATGGGTTGTTTGTAGTGGTGGCTAATAAATTCTTGCTTTGCAGGATCCCAATCCAGATGATCCTCTCAATCATGAGGCTGCAGAAGTTTTGAGGGACAATCCTCGGCAGTTTGAACAAAGTGTGCGAAGATCGATGGCCGGCGGTTACGTCGGTGGCACTCATTTCCCTCGATGTATTTAGATTAACATAATATTGTAATAGTAAGGTTGAAAGGTACTCTCGAATGTTAAAAGTTGATTTCACATGCGCCTTATGAGCCTTTGGTGTGAAAGTATCACAGGTTTCAATCTACCATGCAAAGAACCAAAGAGATTTGTCCATCGATCTTGGGACTTGAAAATGACTTATTTTTTATGCACAGGTAGCTGAAGTAATTTTTTGTTTTTGTTTTTGTTTTTTTTTTTGTATTGCATCCCTTGCACACTGGATGTTTACTGCAGTAGTTTATTTTAAGGTCAAGTTTCCCACTACGGGTAGAGAATTTATTTTTCAAATCATGACCTAAGAAGTGCCCTGCGTGGGTATACGTATGACGATGCGCAAATGAGAGGTCAATGGTCGAATGCAAGTGTATTTCTCCAATCAGGTGATTGGTCTCTTCATGCTAAGACCTCGAAGCACATGCAGCAAGTATTTTGAATATTCACTGGGTGCTGTTATTTATTGTAAAATCATATTATATTATTGTATTAGTAAGTAGAATTTTCAAACAACATTTTAGTTTATGAATGAGCATCAAATATATCTCAACAGTTCAAAGTCTATGTAGTGAAAATAATTATCCAATACTAGGTCTAATTGATGTATAATAATAGTATCTAAGTAAAATCTATTTTATGAAGGTTTTTTTGATTCTTACAATTACAAAATATTAAGAGCTAGGTAGAAGGTTTTTGCAACCTTACTAAGAAGCGAAGGTTTTTTTAATTTTTAATTTTTTATCTTATTTTTAATTTTAGTAGAAAGTTATCAATATAGATGAAAGGTGTCTTAGATTTGTTAGGCATAAGTTTTGCAATGCTTCTTACATCTGATCTAATTATATTATTTCTAAAATCTCAACTTATCAAGATACAAATATATTTTTTTATATACTAATATATATTCTATATATTTTTAGCTATCATTCAATAAAAGATTTGTGTATTATAGAATTGACAAGAATTACTTTGTGTCTTCATAATTAATGAATATTATTTGGTTGTCAAAGAGATTTGATACTTAAGGCTGTTTATTCAATAGCTTATTTTTATGATAGTTTGTTAACATATAGAAGTAAAACGTCTTATAAAGCTTTATATGATTCAAGGATTGAATTTAAGTTGAGACATGTTGTTCTAAATATTCTTGCTTAATCTAATGGTACAAGTTTCGATTATGTTAGAACGAACAAGTATACTTATAATTTTGAGTTAAGTTTGGATCTCAACACACATAAATGCATGACACATTGAAATTTAGTAATAATTGAAAGAGTTTACAAACAAAGAAATCCTTAAAGTAAAAATAAATACTACAATATTGGTTATTTTTGAAAGAAGTGGTTGGATTTTGATAAGCTATGTAAATTAAACTTTGATGATAATGTTCATAGAATTAAATATTAATGAATTGCAAAGGAACTAAATTGCATTCCTTTTTGTATTTACGAAGGAAACTACTTATTTTATTAATGCATCTGTAGTTAGAACTTCAACTGTTCATTGACATTTACTTGTAGTTTATGTCACTCTCATGAAAGAGATTGGTTGTTAGAATGAAAAAATACTTTTGATGGATGATATGACATGTATTGTTTGTTGTATAAGTTTATATCTAGATACATTGAAACAAAGAAATTAATATATATTATATACATTTTTAGTTCATTTATTTATAGGTCAAGATATTGGTCAAGTAATCTTTTAAGGTTTAGAGATTTCTACTAGTAAGGAGATGATTCTAAGTTTATTCATGCTCTTGGAGCACAAATCACTATTTTACTGTATCTGACTTCAATTTATGCCTAATTTTGTGCTCTAGATCTCCGATTGTTTTGTATTTTACTAATAGAGATTCTTTGCCTAAAAGAGCCTAAGAAATTTAAATACTAACTAAATACTGCTTTAGTGAATGTTATACATTACTTTTCTTGGCAACATGTTTCTTCAACTGCTTGAGTTGTCTAACAAGGACTAGACGTGCTGAAGATCTTTGCACAAGAGAGCTAGCACAATAGCGATTGGCCTCACCTTCCATAGATACTAGGCATTGACGATCATTAGTTCTATAGTTTGTTGCATGCTTCATTTAATAGTGGTAGCTAATGATTCACCATTACTAACTAAGGCCATTATTGAAGCACTAGCATTATACATTAGAGTACCGGGACCAACACCAATAGCACCACCTCTAAAGCCACTCATCCTCCATAAAAAGGTTGTTGCTGCAAGGAATAAGCACTATAATGAATATAACAAATTACAAAAAAGAGGTGGTACTGCCTAAAAGTGCACCTACTCTTGTGGATAACAATCCTTTATTAACTCTCGAATTGATAACAATGCCAACTATGTTGAAAACTGCCAATCCTAATACAAATGATATGGCATATGCTACGACTAATATTGCAAGTATTATAATCCTAGTCTCTACATTTGCATTTGTGATAACTTTCTTGTAGGTTTGCACTAGATGTTTATGATAGATTTTTGGCAAAGTTTTTGTTTGATAATTGTATATTATATGTATCATTCTCTTCATTGATGGAATAGAAAAATTTTTACTCCCATAGTTGCTATGTTTATAAATATATGGTTTACCAAGCATAACTTGTACATTTAATCATCTATGATAGAGGGGCAATAACATATTACCTATAGTGGCTCTATATTTTATATTTGGAGTTATTGTTAAATTACTTACAAGAATATCAATCATGTAACCTGACTTTGTTTCTAAAACTTAATCAACATCTTTGTTTAGACACAAGCTTTTTATTCTTCAATGGTCTTTGCAATCTTTGCAATCGGCATGCCTAGACTTGAATTTGAAACTAGTGAATGTTTCCACATATCTCACCAACAACAAATCTTAAATATTGGTCTTTTAACATTGATTCAATCAATTTAGACATTGAGCCCAAGTTTTGTGGAGCTATTGACATCTATCGACAACCATTGAAAACCTTCTCCAATTAGTTTTGTGCTTGATTTTCTCATGATCCTATATTAAATGAATAGAATTGAATGGCTAATATTTATGCATACTATGTCATAAGAACTATTGTTGTTGAAAGATAGTATTAGCTATGAAATCCATTGATGTATATTAATATAGTTAATGCCAATCATGTTTCTATAAAACTATATTATATATATATATATATATATATATATCTTAAGTTGAACATTATGGAAAAAAGACCTTGCATATTGATGTTTTAGTTCCAAATTACTTGATGTTAAATAGAAGATTTGTTGAATTGTGTTTATATTTTAAAACAACTAAAAATTAAACATTTAATTATGACATTATACATGTTTGTATATATATATATATATATATATTTGCATTCTTCAAAGCTTATTGAAAATCAATTAAATTTATAATTATTAAATGAGTATAATTTTGTAAGTTACAATATAATAAATAGTTAAATATTGAATATTACTGCTGCCACCACAACTTTTGCTATTACCACTACTATCTAAAACTATTTTTTTGATTTATTTTATACCAATCAGGTAAATATTTGTTTGGAGGTTAAAAAAAATTATAATTGTTCACATATGTTAACAACTATTTTTTTGATTTATTTTATACCAATCAGGTAAATATTTGTTTGGAGGTTAAAAAAAATTATAATTGTTCACATATATTAACAACTTGGAATATCAATGTTACAAAGTATAATATTCTCATATTTCTTAAATAATTGCTTAAATATTTAGAATATTGCTAACAAGTATTATTAAAAAGAGTACTTTTGTTAAGAATATTTAGGATATTGTGGTTTTAGGAGCGCACAGAAATGTTTTAAAAATCAAGTCATCAGAAGAGATTCATGCATGTGCCCAGCAAACTCGAGCAGAAAGTAGTGAAATCGCACAAATTATGGGATTACTTTATTTACAAAATAAAATTATAACCTGAAAACCTACTTACAAAAGCTAAAAATTTATGATCCGCACTTCGACCTCCCTCATAGTGGAGTAGGGCTATTCAGTCCGGACAAGTTTGTGACGTTTGTAGTGACTTACAACAACGCTGCAAATGCAAGAATTCTGGGTTAACCCCAAGCCATAGAGCAGGCGTAATTCACTATCAACTTCCCATCAATGCCGAAATTCTGCGTCTCAAATCAGAACTAGTGTAAGTATGAAGCATCCCATCAAATGTTTCTTTCACAAGACTAAAAACTGGCATCCAACAGATTAACTTTAAGAAAAAGAAGAAGAGGAAGAAGAAGCAAAGTAAACATACCTCAAACAGGTCCCAGATGTTTTCATCAGGAGTTGGGGAGAAAGCACTGTTTATATACACGAACTGACATTAAGAGGAAAAAGTCGATCAGATCATCTTAAATATGAAAGTAAAAATAAATACACAAGAAATAATGACCGCTAAAACTAATCGTGTGCCCTTTCCAGAAACCATTTAGACCAACACATATAAATGGTGAATTTGAAAATTCTTTAGAATCATGCACGATCGACCTCACAGGAAATGCAAATGAAGGGCGAAGTGTTCAAACTCACCAATGTCTCACGATGAAGCTGTTTGCGCAGAAAATCAATAACCTTAGCAAATTTCTCAGTGCCTCCAATCTAAGCACAAGGGGAAGTGTTCCCAGCATAAGAAGTAGTGAGAGAAACAATCCAGCGTCCAGATGAATACCTGAAAATCCACAAACTATAGTCCAACTATCTCTTCAAAAATTTCATGGACCTGGAAAATTCATCGATGGCACACGAGTATTATGACAAGCGGCATCCGAACGGGTCCTCCCCTATCTCCCTCCAATTGTTACGGGCAAGCGTTCGCACCAGTAACAGGAAGATGAGGGTAGCTCAAAACGCGATTACAACACTACATTCTCTATGAAAAGATTACACATACCTTGAACTTAGATTGCTTCATAATAGGTGCATCCCCAGTAGCCCTAAAGAGCACCACCACTGAGACATACCACCAACCCAATAGGACAATGCGAAATATGAAAATCCTCCCAGGCCACTGAAGCAGGCTTCAAAGGACACAAACTTCAGATACTTCACAACTACTTCACGCTAAATCACGGATTTTCACAAATGCACCAGAAATTCAATCGTTCTACAGCATCCACCACCAAAACAAGCGGCTCCCCAACAGAACTTCGCAGCTAATAAAAACCACCGGAACATACTCCAGAGCATGAGGTAGGGCACCCACCTTTCCGAGGACCGGTCACGGACGGCGATTCCGCCGAAGTTGACATAGTCGGCGGATCCTGACCCCGGTAAAAACCTCAAGCGAGATGGCTCCGATCGGCTGAGGCTACAGGATCCCCTTCACAACCAAATTCCTCTTCACGTCGATCAAAGGCTCAAATTCTCGCTTCAACAGACCTCTCATGGGCAATTTGCAACATGGAGATCACACAAATCCTGACCGCGCTTGGAAAAAACTAAATTGTATTAGCCAGCACTCAACGACGTGCTCAATCAAAGTGACTTTCTCATTACTACCTGGCGAAGAAATCGTTGAATACCACGATCGAGCTGAAAGGCTGAGAATTGAATACGCGCGGAGAAAACCCTGAAAATGCACAACAATGTGACGCCTTCGACAAACACATTCAACCTCGTTCATCGAACGCTGGATTGATGATGGATGAATGTCATCGACGAGTATAAGCTCTCTCGTCGAGGTCATTCATCCATGTTGTTTCGTAGAGGAGAGAATTGTGGGTACTTAAGAGTAGTAGCAATGCAATAGGAGATTGTTCAAAATTCATATTGAATTTGAAGTAAAAGTGTGGATTAGAAGAAAAATATGTTTATAATTTTCTTTTTTGCTTTAGAACAAAAATATCAATAATATAATAAACATGTTTTAGTGTTTTTTTTTTTATTATTATTATTTTTTTTTATAGCTTTCATAATATCTATTCATGTTTACAATCTCAAGTTTAATTCTACAAATTTTACACTTGAATTGATTCATCTTCACCAACATGAGGAGTTTTTTTGTCTTTCTAAATTATAATTTGTTATTTCATGCCATATTATTTAATAAATTAATTAATATTTGCATGTAACCTTATAAAAAAATTAAATAAAAAAAATTGTGTGGTGTTAATACTTTTGTAATTTTACAAAAAAATTATTTGTTTTATAGTAATTTTTTGTTTATTTTCACTTCACAATATAATAGATTTTATAAAAAAATAATTTGGAGTTATTGAAGAAGAAGAACTTTGAAGTCACCAACACATAACATTAACAAAGTTGCTCACAAAGAAAGTATAGAGTGAGATATTTCACACTTCCAACACCCATTATTTATAGGTTGTGGCTACTACTCTAATAAACAATTTTCATCCTTTGATGAATACATCCATTCAACATTCTACCGAGACTATTCATTGTTATTTTATCTACTATGAAAATATACCTTTAATATATTCTATATATTCTTAAAATCCTTTGTCCATTCATCTACTTTATCTCTTGACCTTCTTACATACCAAGAACTAACCCTTTAAAGAATAGCAACTTACCTAAAATAATATCCTTTACATATGATACTTATTCTACTTTCACATTTACTTATATACTTTAACACAAATAACATTTGAACTAGATCTATTTATGCTAAAAGTAGTTTTGATGTACTTGATATATTTTTTGTCTTAGAAGTTTATATTTGTTTAAAACCATATTTCTGATTTTCATGAGCAAGTATTTATCTTAAAATTTCATTTCAAAAAGAGAAGACTTAAAAGTGTAAAAATCTTACAGTGAATTTATTACAATTTATTTATTTATTTTCCCTTCTTCCTGATTCTCATGTTTTTTTGTTTTCTGTTTTTTTCCGCTGTTTACATGTCCATTATCCACCTTTTAGGGCATAGTGTTGAAAAACTAGACTCTTCATACTAGTAAATAAGACACAGTTAATATTCAATCAATTTGAAAGGTTATAATTTCTACATATCATGTGGTAAAAAAAAAGGACCTAAATTCCACTGTACTTTGAAAACAAAAAGAAGAATTAAAACTGCAAAATGAACCCAAGGAGTTTTGAATAAATCGGACACGTCCATGACAAATTTTACTCATGGAACATACACAAATGTCGATTAAAAAGAAAAAAAGAAAAAGAAAAAAGAAAAAGAAAAAAAGGTTCTTAACACATGAAAAATATCTTCTATTACTTCTCTACACCACATTCCTTGCATAATGAAATCCAATCAAGGAGCTTGGACAACGACTTCACATTAGTAAATGAGACACAAACAAGTGTTTAACATTTACGAATCACACTCGGAGGCTTCTCTAATACGAACTATTAGTTGAACAAGCACATATGATGATTCCAATCCATGGCATAGTTTTTAACCTTCGAAATGAGTGAAAAAAACGGGGCACCACTCTGTTAATTCCATTAAAATACTTGATATCTTCTCCAGGGATGCTACTGATCACATACCTTTGAAAAACTGCTTCTCACACTTGTAGAAAAACTGGCCGCAAATGGGCGATGAAAATGCTTAATTACAGAAACAACCACGAGGACATTAAGAGCTTTAACAAAGTTCATCTGTTAGTATATCTCCTGGAATTCGCAGACATTCAGCTGCAGAATCAATGCTGGATGAGCATGCTTGCTAACATCAAATATTCGAAACAATCGAGCATCAACTAGAATGTTATATTTCGTGCAAGGGTCACCTGCGATAGGAATAACAGCAAAAGATTGTCTAGACCCCAGCTAAATTTGGCAGCCTTAAATTGCAACTAGCAAGCCGAACATCGCCGATGGCAGCTTCTGCCTAAGCTTGCAGACTGCACTTGTGTAAAGTACTTCAAGAGAGAGGCACACGAGTTTCAAGGTATGAAAGAGCAAAAATCACCGAGGTCGCTGCACTCAAGCCCAAGAGCGGTCCAGAGGGAACAGGTTTGCCTGTGGATGCTAGTCGGATTGCTGCAATTCGAAACAAGGAAATTTCATTAGAATTCCACCTTCAAGTCCAAAAATTTCATTAGAAATTCCTTCAGAACAGAAGATACCACATACTCACGTTTGCTTAAAATAAACAACCTGTATAAGATTTTGTGAACCACCTACATACCACACAAATCAATCGACTTGTATTACCATCTTGTTTTTCTGCTGTAAAGGTTGCAATAATACATTTTTGGTACAAAAGTTTAAATCAACGTCGTGCAAACATCTCAGAGGCGACTCCTACTACGAGTCAAAACAGAAGCGAAAGGTAATCCCTGCAAATAAACTACAGTTAGAGACATTTACCGAAGATGGCAGCAAAGAGCACCGCAGCACCAAATCCAACAGCCTCACCAAGATCTCGAGTCTCAGGTACCTGCATCAAGAAGAATGCCTGCACATATTTCCCAAATTCAAACCTACGAATGAACGACCGTCATCCTCTACGAAGCAAACATGAGTTTCATGTCTACCAAACAATGACCAACATCCAGTCCTATAAAACAGGAACGTGAGAAATTGACCAAAAACAAATGCTGCAGATTCCAGCCAAATGATAGCAATACAGATAGCTCAAAGGTTGCATTGTGAAAACTAAAACTATTCAATCTGCCTTACCACGCCAAGAGCAATGCCGCCCGTAATTCCACCTCCAAGTGAACTCGTGCTGCCAGTCCTTGTATCTGAAACAAAATAAGTAAATAGATAAACATGCATCCATACGCTCAGATTTCTACACAGTATTCAGAAGGCAATGAAGCCAAACTAGCAAACTTTCAGTTGCATCCATCCCATACTACCTACATTTTCGAGCCTCAAATAACCTCAACCAATTCACGAATCGTAGCTAATATTTACAAGGGTGAGTCCGAAGAGTCTGACGACATGAGGAAATCTAACCCGTCAAGATTAAAATAAATAAATAAATAAAGGAAAATGAGAGATCATCTACTAAGGGTTCAGTGCTGCATCATAACTCAATCACGCTCCCTTAACGCTCAAATTCTAAATTTAGGCAGCTCTCACCCGTCAAGATTAAAATAAATAAATAAAGGAAAATAAACGCACGGGTGGTTCAATATGTGGCAGTTTTGGAGTATCTTTGAAGATTTGAACGTAGGGGGGGGGGGGATCTTGTTCACTACGTCAGTACAAATAGTTTGGATACCTTGACATGTAAGGCTCGTGCACTGATTCAGAGATTACCAGCAGACCGATACAATGCTGTATTGAGAGATACCGAGAAAAACTCTAGTGCTAAGCTGATTGTTCAAATTGGCTAGAATGACGGAGATACATGCACGCCTAGAAAGGTATTTCAGAAAACCTATGTATGTTTTATAAGCGTTGGCTAACTTGAGTCTAGTTTGAAATCTCTTCAGATTATACACCCCTTTGTCTCGTCTTGAACTCGCTGCATGAAGCTACCAAGAGCATGACTAAACGAGCATGTTAAGCGCCTAATTCGACATAAGCGAAGAGGCAGGGTGGAGAAGAGTAAAGTTGAACTTCGATGAATGTGGTTGAAGTCATGTGATAACTCACATGCATAGAGGCCACCACCAAGAAGACTTGCGCCATAGACGGCGGCAGTCAAGGGAGCGTAATCGTTCAAACTCGCCGTGGGCGCACGATTTCTCACCCCAACGGAGGTAATTTCCTGCCGTTTGCTGAAGGAGAAAACTTGTTCCCCCGCAAAACTGCTCTTGAGAACAAGCCTCTGCCCCTCGAAACACGATGCGGCGGCATTACGAGCTCTGAACTCAGTCGCCGCACACGGAGAACACTTCAGTGCGGAAGTAGCGAAAGTAGCGTACATGGATGCCATTTCAATGCCCTTCAATGTCACAAACGACACACAGTCAGCCAGTGACTGAACCCAACTGGCTAAAACCCAACTAACCCATTGCCCATCAACAACGTTCAAGGAGAGGTTCGGTGACAGATGGATATCTCCGCGGATATCAACAATGCAATCTACTAGCTCTTGTACATGACATTCTTCGAACTGCTCTATAACTCGGAGTCCCTCTGGCTGATGCAGAGTCATCTGCTCTAAGGCATATTGTAGCGGAATCGAAGAAATCAAGAGAGCATTCAAAACCTTCCACCGATTTCGAAAACCATTATCGAAAACCAACATTCCACAAACTAAACCCCTCGAGTCAAAACAAGACAATTAATCCAGTCCCAGGTTGTCGATTCCCTTTGAAGACCTCAGAAACCACTCAATCTATCAGAAAACTCTAATCCAGCCCAGATCCTTCACAGAATAAACTTGCAAACACCACCTACTTAGCCTGTGCGAGAAAACGACGCCCGAAAACGACACGAGGATTACCAGATTCTGATCGATGTATTCCCCTTCGACTCAGTCCAGACTTTGTCGAACGAAGAAACAAAACTGTGCCTTGCTCAACACCCACAAAAATCACTTCGACAAGGAGTAAGTAAGTAACACAGAGAAATTGTTGGATTCGCTCGAGGAGGTGCCAGGCTTGCTAATCACCAATTCAAACAGGTCAATAACGGAGCTTGAAAGGCCCAGTGCATTCTACTAATCACGGTGGCATCTCACTGTTCCGAGCCGAAGAAGAAGACTGACATGGCAGCGATCCAGATAAGCCCTAATGAATGACACGACCACGAACTGCGCGAAAAAAAAAACAAAAAAGTCGTGGGTTTTGAGGGGCGTGGAACGCGGCATGGCTGAGTGTGTGCATGGGTTTGCAACGCGAGTCGTAGTGGCCACTTGGCAAGGCCATGCCCGCACTTGAAGGCCAGCTTGTGTTGTGTTGGCGCATTTGCGTCGTCGTTGTGGGCACTCTCCAGGCGACATTACAGACACAAAAAACACAACAGCTTCCGATTCGTGCAGGCTCAGAGTTCGGCGTTTCTTCGACGCACACGCACAGCAAATGCTGCTTCTCATCCTTAGAAAGAAAAAAGAAACATTTTAAAACTCGACTTCGGCTGCTAATTAGTCTTTCAATACTTTTAATTTGTTAGGTATACGCTTACATTCATCTATTCCTTCTTTTTTGTGTTGAAAATAAATTGTGTTGCACATCGAAAAATTGATCTTCTTCATTTTTTTGAAGGAGATCAAAGAGTGAAATTAACATCAAAATTTGTAACATGTTTATTCAAAGCCAGTGACATATATTCCTGAAGCTGGGAAAGTATCTTGGAGAAAAATAATTAAAAAATAAAAATAAAAATAAAAATTGGAGAATAGAAGACCGAAGAGTGAGTTGCTATGTATTTGGTGAATCACCAAATCTATTCATGGTTTGTTTTGGGATAAAAGAAGGCAATAGCAGTGCTATGAGGAAAATGTTAGTTGAAGTTGAATGTAGAGGATATTAAATGAAAACAAAATAGAGGCACTAGAATATTTTTAGTTATTAGTAGGAATTCTAGTAGAAAATTTCAAATCAAGAAGGCATCTTTAAAGACATCAATTGAGCATCTTTGTAGTATCTTAGAAGCATTCAAGAAGAATCTAAAATATTCTAAAATTCTAATATTGTAGGAAATATAAATAATTGAAGAAAGGCAATTCTTTTGTCTCCAACATTATCTTTAATTACTTTTTATTGTGCACTTTTGCAATCATGAGTCTCCATATTATATCTATTGATAATTTTGGATCATATTATGCATGCCAAGAGACTATATTTAGTTAAAAAGTTACACACTAGAATGTAGAAATTCACTAAGTATAGAAGGAATAGGGTGTCAACTTCAACCTAAAGCCAGGGTGGTCAATAGCATAGAGATTGTATTCAAGCTACTATTAGCTTCCAAGGAGGTTGGTCTGTAGCAATGTTGGAGTGTTGTTGAGTCATTCATTGGACAATGATTACCAATAAGTTAAACATCTAGACTCATGACATTATATGCGTGGTAGAAAAAGCTTGTGAAACTATGAAGATTGTGCAATATTAATTGTTGATGATGGCTTTACAAGAAGAGTGGCAGATGCAATAAAGAAGTCACTTCTCTTCACAAATCAAAATTCAGAGTTTGGAGTCCATTAATTCTAGTTTTTTTTTTTTTTTTTTTTTTTTTTTTTTTAAATTCTTATTAGTTTTTTTAAGCTAATGCAAGGCATATAATCATAATCAAAAGAATTGATTATTAAATAATTAAATATTCTTGAGTTAAGTTAGGGCTTGTATTCAATGAATTAAGATTGTATGGAAGAATTTTAAAGCAAGTGGATGATAAAATATAGATGAAATTTATTTAAATTTGGATGATTTTTTTATTAATAGATAAAGATTTATTCATGGATGAAAAATAAAAATTTGATGATAATTAATACTAATTTTTTAAAAATAAAAATCATATAAAAACTAAAATAAAACCATATAAAAATTTCTCTTTCAATTGTGGTGTCTTTTTTAAAGTTAATTAAGTGGCTTATATTATTGTAGAGGTGTCAAGGACAAGAACTCGATGAAAAAACAGTTCAGACAAGTAAGCCTTCACTCAAAGAAAAATAACAAAATATGAATAATAAGTATGTATATTGAAAAGAGAAACTAGAATGGCTATTGCCAAAAGACAAGAAAACTAGAGACCCTTGAAACTAGACTAGAAGCAAGAAAGGAGTTGACAAGAGTGAAGAAGCCTTCACTCTTGTCTCTATATATACTATCTAACTAGGAGCTACGTGGCGACGTTCTATAGGACCTCCAATATGTGTTGACTTTGTAGGACACATGCCTTGACTTACAAGGCAAGTTTTTCTACGTGTGGGCCACATAGTTAGCTTGATCTTCAAGCTAACAACATGTGTGGCACATGGCCAACTTGTTGACCACGTTTTTAATCCAAAAAGTCAATTAAAGACACCTATGAAGTCAAAGCAGCGTCTAGGAAGTTTCTAGGAAGCTTCTATATTAAATATTATAGAATTAACTTATTTTTATCTACTTTTACTTACTTCTACCTATTTCTATATGTAATTATTAGCTTACATGATTATGGCCGTGACATTACCCCCCCTTCTAGAGACGAGTTCCACGAGGAGCGGTCATCATATGTTGAGGAAATCTATGATGCGACGAATTGTATTCGCCACATACTCTGATCTCTGTTCTCTTCGAAGATGATTGATAGGGCCTCTCAACCATCGGTAGTGTCCCATACCAGGGCGGGAAGACCACCCAGTTATTTGATCATTGTTGAGGCCTTCGTAACTTCCTTCGAATAGAATATTCAGAACACCATCAGGAGTTGTTCCTAGCTCTAGCAAAATCACCAAACATCGAGAGTCCCTTCCCAAATCGTGATACCAAACGCATTGTATCTCACCATCTATTCGAGGAAGAACATGTCGTTCTTGAAGATCTTCATCTCGATTGCGTCGTCTTGAAGGTTGTGACAATCGTAATGTCTCATCCGGTAGGTCAGCAAACGAAGGTTCTTGAGTTGAATCCGCTGGTTGTTGGCTCTCCATCTAATTAGCATCACAAATGCAAAGAAGTTACAAACAAGGATAGGAAATTGAATGTTATCTTGCCTCAATCTTGTCTCTTTTATAAGAGAGATTTTCATCTTGGTTTTGATGGATGTCGTTGATGAAAAACTTTAACTTTAGCTGATGCATTTGCTAGATTCCTGGATGGCTCCCATGTGCGTTCACTAATATCATATCCGCGCCAATGAACAAGATATTCCAGCTTATTTCGGCGTCGCCTTGAGTCTAATATCTCTTCCACCTCAAATTCTTCATTATTATCTACTTCTATAGGAGGCGGTGGCATTTGTCTTCTTCCTTGTATATCCACTGTCTTATATAGTTCAAGAAGAAACACGTGAAATACAGGATGGATCTTCATTGACTCCGGTAGATATAACCGATATGCAACTGGATTGATCTGTTCAGAAATAGAAAAGGGGCCAAGCCTACGATACTCCAACTTGTCACAAGGTCGAGTAGTCTTGATATTGTGACGAAGTAGCCATACCTTATCATCCACGTTGAGTTGTGGTTGCTCCTTACGATATAGATCTGCGTTTATCTTTTGTCATTCTTGAGCTTCCTTCAATTGCGTCTTCATTATTGAATATAACTCTGACAACTGATTTGCCATATCTTCTGCTGCAGGATTATCAACTTTTGAAAAATCAAAAGTATCAAGTCGTGGATGATAGCCATAATTGGCAAAGAAAGGTGTTTGTTGCGTGGAAGAATGTACCGTATTATTATAAGCAAACTCTGCCAATGGCAGAAAGGTTGTCCAATCATCTTGTTGGTAGTTGATAGTACACCTTAAATATTGCTCCAACACTTGGTTTACGCGCTCTGTTTGTCCATCAGTTTGAGGATGGAAAGCCGAAGATAGCTTTATGTCCACTTTTAAAATCTTGAAAAGGGTCCTCCAGAATCTTGACACAAATTGAGTTCTCCTATCCGATATGATATCTTTAGGTAATCCATGATAGCGATAGATATTATCAATGAAAAGCTTAGCTGTTTCTTCACCTGTGATAGATTTTGTACATGGCACAAAGTGTGCCATCTTGGTGAAACGATCTACTATCCCAAATATAGAATCATAAGATCTTGAGCTTGGAAGATCTGTGATGAAATCCATAGAAACAGAAGACCATGGTTGTTCTGGTATAGGTAATGGCTGAAGAAGTCCGTAAGGTCGATGACAAGGAATTTTTGATCTTGAACAAATATCACATGATTGTACAAAGTCTTTGACTGACTTCCACATTTGTGGCCACCAAAAATCTCTTGATATGAGTTCTAAAGTCTTATTATATCCAAAGTGCCCTGCTGCTGGAAAGTCATGACGTGCTTGAAGAACACGTAAACGTGCTTCTCCTTCTGGAACATATAGGCGTCCTTCAAAATATAATAGATTATTCTTGAACTCGAACTTAGAAGGATCATGAGACTTGGAAGAATTATTCTCGATATCATGAACAAGAGGGTCTGAGGACATACTGGACTGGATTTACTTGAGAAAAGTTGAATCAACAGTCAATGTTGATTTCATTGCTCGGAGATGAAATTGTTCCGGTTTCAAGAGGACCGTTCTTTGTTGCTCAAAAGCTGCATCTCCTTCTTTTGGTGCAAAATAAGAACGTCTAGATAGGGCATCAGACAAACCTTGTTGTTTTCCTGGCCGATAAGTGATAATGAACTCGAATCTTGACAAAGACATACTTCAACGAGCTTGACGATGATTCAACACCCGTGCTGACATGAAATACTCGAGGTTCTTGTGATCTGTATACACAGTGACTAGACTGGAAGCGCCTTCTAGATAATGACGCCATTCTTGAAAGGAATCCACGATCGCAAGAAGTTCTTTATCGTGGATCTCATAATTGATCTCGGCTGCTGAGAATTTTCTTGAATGAAAAGCTATCGGATGAAGTTTGTCATCTGTTCCCATTTGTGATAAAACTACACCCAAGGCAAAATCTGATGCATCTGTTTCCATAAAAAATGCCTTGGAAAAGTCAACACGATATAAGACTGGTGCAGAGACAAACGATGTCTTCAAGGCTTCAAATGCTACTTCCGCTTCTTGATTCCATTGAAATTTATCTTTACTAGTCAAGCGTGTAAGTGGAGCTGCAACTCGTGAGAAATCTTTGATGAAGATCCGATAGTAATTGGCAAATCTCAAGAAACATTGGACATCTCTTACTGTCCTTGGAATCTTCCAATCCATGATTGTTTGGACTTTCTTAGAATCCATCATGAGACCATCATTTGAAATAATGTATCCTAAAAAGTCAACTTGAGT